GACGGTATGCCTTCATAAGGTAGGATGCTGCAATGAATGAATCTACTAAACCAAATACTTTCATAATGAAAGGATTCAGAAGACGGTATGCCTTCATAAGGTAGGATGCTGCAATGAATGAATCTACAAAACCAAATACTTTCATAATGAAAGGATTCAGAAGTCGGATGCTGTAATAGATGAATTTACAAACCAAATACCATAATAAAAGGATTCAAAAGGCAATATGCCTTCAGAAAGTCGGATGCTATAATGGATGAATCAGCAAACCAAATACTTTCATAATGAACGGACTCAGAAGACGGTATGCTTTCAGAAGATCGGATGCTGTAATGGATAAATCTATTAAACATTTCCTTAATGCTTTCTTCATCTAATTGTTGGTTTTTGTTTTTGCCTTCTTCCAAATTCATATTTTCAATTTTTTCATTTACATTTCTAATTTTCTCTAAACAGATTGTATTTTCAGCTATCAAGAGACATTTTCATTTATTTCTAAATTCATTGAATTCAAATATTTTATTTCGAGCTATATCAGAAAAATGTTTGAAAAGTTAATTTTGAATAAAATTATGTTTTCGTATTTTCTTTAACAACAATATTTCTGCTACCGATACTATTGTTTATTATTATTGGCATCTAAAATTTCTAATTTCGTTTTAAATTTTTCATTCAAATTATTTATCATCATTTTATGGATTTAATTGTTGAGAGAAGAAAATAAAAGCATCTTAACTGAATTAATTACTTTAATAGAAATAATAAAAGTGAGATGACAGTTGACATTCGATGATAGATTGTAATAATTCAAATTTAATAAATCAAATTTACACCTTTTTTCATTTTGACATTTTTCGAAAATATGAAACATATATGTTTGCATTGTGTACTGATAATTGAAATATATTAAATATAAAAAATATAAAATAAATTAATATAAATTATATCGGAAAATAATAATTGGAAAAATTTTTAAACTTCGATTTCAAGAGTTTCGTGAAAAATATATCTGTTAAATATTTAAAAATTTCTGATCACTACGAATCAAAAATTAAATGGTAGTAGAATTTTCTTATATAATTTTTATTAGAAACTTTTTTGGGAATGATTCGTAATAAGGGAGATACTATTATTTTATAGTTATAATTATCCATATGATTATTTTATATTGTATTAAAATTTTTCCACTAAAATTTATTCCTTATCATTTGTTTTATCAAAAGATTAAAATTGAAAATTAAATTGAATAAGTCGCTAAACAATAAAATTTAATTAGCATAATTTTTAATAATTAAGAAAGAATTAGAGAACTAATTATTTTATTTCGAATTTCTATTAAAAGTGGAAACAAAAATTATTTACGGTCATTTAAAATAGCATTACTGAATTTATTTGATTGAAACATTTGCTTTTAAATTTTTATTTTTGCATATAATCAATTACCTATTTACAGCTTACCTTTTATTAGTACAATTGATGTATATCATTTGTTCTTTTATCGTGGTTTTATTTCTCGCAAATTTAACACACGAATCATTTGTCATTAATACATACTCGTATAAATCAAGAAATATGAAGTAAAATACATTTTCAGATTAATTATTAGCTTTTCTTGCAATACAAGTAATAATTCTTTAATTGAATTTTATTACATTCATCAATTCGAAAGATAGTTGAAAAATTAGAATTGGAAAACATTAAATCAGAAGATAATTCAAAAATTCGAAATAGAAAGGACTAAATCAGAAGATAGTTCAAAAATTCGAAATCAAAAGAACGAAATCAGACGATAATTCGAAAATTGGAAATGGAAAGGACTAAATCGAAAGATACTTCGAAAATTCGAAATCAAAAGGACTAAATTAGAAGATAGTTCAAAAATTGGAAATGGAAAAGTAGGGAAAATGATAAATTCTTTAATACAATAACAAATTGATATATTTAAAATTATATTCAAACTGAAAATATATTTTTAATTAATGAATAAATGAATATGTACATATTAGAGATTTTGAATATTTTTTGTTATTAAAATGCTATTGCAAATAAATTAAAATTTCAACAAATATTTCTTAAAATAAAGCTAAACTATTAATGCTAATAATTTAATTAAATCTAAACTATTAATATATATTTTTGATAAATAAGTTTATTTATGCTAATAATAGTTAATATAATTTAAATTCGAAAAAGTATGAATTCAATAATTTGCATAAAAAAACATTAACAAATTTATGAGAAATAACAAAAGCTATGGAAAAAGAAAAGGAAGAATATTTAATTTACTAATATTGTTGACAGTATCGTTCACCCAAATTAGCAGCATCAATCCATTTCTTGAAATTTTGCAAATGTTTAGATGTTCGCTTCCTGGAAAGTCGTTCTTCTGTTGCAAAACAACCGCGTAATTGTGATTCAACGGTAGAAATGAAATGTACACGAAATAGTTCAATTTTATTAAGCGAAAATAATATTTGCGCATCAACCGAATAATCCATTAAACGTGTTAGCGCGGAATAATCACGTTCACCAACTTGAACCGTAAACTGAAATTTCGACGCGAAATTAATTGTTTCAAGTCAAATCATTTATTTCATTATTATCCTAATTAATTCAATGTTTACTTAATTGCAATTAGGGCTAATTAATTTAATGTTTTGTTTAAATAATTTTAAATGTTGTAAAATTAAACAAAAAAATTTTTTAATTTGCTTTATTTCGAAATATGCTAAATGGATATATTACTAATAATATATTATAATTTACAAAATAATAACAAATCATTAATGTAAAATGTAGAAAAAAAGGACACAGCTATAAACAAATTAATTAATAAATTAATTAATTACAACCTCAGTAACATTCGGAAAGAATGTCCTTCGATAGGTAGATGGTACACATTGTATATGTACGGAATCTTCAGCAGCTTGTCCATCTAATGTTTTCAAATAACATTGAAAAGAATGCCAACGATTAAAATCCATACTTGATAAGCCAGCTGTGATCAGTTCAACGATTCCCATATCAAGCTGATAATAAAAATTAAAAATAATAATATAATAATAATAATAAATATACATATAATAATAAATGATGATATAATAGCAATAAATAATAGTAATAGTAATAATATGAATTTAAGTTTAAGTAATTTATTTCGTAATTATATTATAAAATAATAAAAATTAAATTTCATATATTTACCGAAACATTTCGAATCGATGGTGCCAATAGTTGAATCGCTTGAAATAATTTACTGATATCTTTTGGTGTCCATCTTTCATGAACAATAAATACAGCGCTATGATTTGTTAAACTTAGCAATATTTGCGCACTACGATGCCGATAAAAATTACCTAAAATAAAATGCTCTATTAAAATTTATTAAAATCAATTAATTAATTAATCAATTAAAAAGATTTAATTTAATAATCGAAAAAGCTAAAGATCAACAGATTATATGTAATTTTTTAAGTAGCAATAAATGATTGAAATAGAAAAGAATAGAAAATGATAAATTTCGTAAATTCCAAAAAATTTAAACAAAAATTGATAAAAAGTTTAATTTATCATTTTTTCCCTTATCATTTATAATAAACATTATTATTAAATTAAAATTAATGATAATAATTGACAATATCGATAACGTTAATGATGATAATATTAATTGATAATGATAATAATTGATAATATCTTCTTTACAATTTAGCTTAACCAAGATTATTAAATTGAAGAATTAATTTTAAATGAAACAGATTGCATAGTTTTTAAAATACAAACTAACTAACCATTAATATTATTCGTTTTATTAGCTAACAATGAGGCAGCATTCCGCCGATCGGCATATAAATAAAGAATATTATTGAAATGGCTATCAATTAAACGTTTAAAATTTTTATTCACACGACGCCATGAATATAAATCAAACGGTGAACATTGTTGAAATATTGCATTCCTCAAAAATTTCCCCATTATTTCTTATTTATTAAAAAATTATAATAATAATTTTAATTATAAAAAAAACAAAAAAGAAAAGGTCAAGAAATTGAATTCTTTCTTTCTCATTTCTAAATTTACACATTATCATTTATCAATTTAATCAATCAATAATTTCAATTTATCAATTTAATCAATTTAAATACTTTTTTTTCATTCCTAAATTTACACATTATCATTTATCAATTTAATCAATCAATAATTTCAATTTATCAATTTAATCAATCAAATTAAATTCTTTTTTTTTTCATCCCTAAATTTACACATTATCATTGATCAATTTAATCAATCAATCAATAGTTTGCATTACAAAAGAAAATATTTATTAAAATGATACCATATTTCATCATTAAATTGATAACATTTCTTGGAACAAATCGATGATGATTTCTTCTTTCTCAATAATAAAATGAATGTTTCAGTTGCAAATCGTCGTTGCAATCGTTGAATATTACATTGAAAGAATTCTTTCAAAGTTGGCATCCTAAAATTGAAATAAAATAAAATATTTGAAATTCATAAAATTTACTACTTACTATCTAATCGAAAATTTCTTTGCGAAATAAACAAATTTTGTTCGAAAAATTGTTTTTTTTTCGAAGAATAAAAGAAAAAGAAAGAGAAAAAGCAAAAGTTGGAGGAAGAGAAAGAGAAGAGAGAGAGAGAGAGAGAAAGACGAAAATTAATAGTTTGTTTAAATTTTATTTTAAAGAATGATACGAAAAATATTAAAATAAGTTTGCAACATATAGGAAAAATGGAGAAATTATGAAATTGATTTTAATAAATAACTAATTAATTGTTTTGTATTTAGAATTTAAATTATTACTTATTATTAAATTGTCTTAGTGATTAATATTTAAATTAATTACCAATTGTTAAACAGATAAAAAGTTTAATAAAGATTGTTTACTTAATTACAATCGATTAAAGGGTGTAAATTATTCATTTAATAAGATCAAAGTCAATTAATCTTAAGTTTTTTTTAAAAAAAAAGGAATAATTAATGAAATTAAAATTAATGAAATTCAAGTATTTAATTAACTTAAAACATAATATATCAATTAATTTAAAACGTAATATATTAGTTAACTTAAAATATAATGAATTAATTAATTTAGAACGTAATATAATAATTAACTTCAAACGTAATATATTAATTAATTTAAAATATAATATATTGGTTAACTTAAAATATAATAAATTAATTAATTTAAAACGTAATATATTAATTAATTTGAAATATAATTTTTAAGTTACAATCGATTCGCTAATGCATCTTTCAATTAATAAAGTACGAAAATTGAAATGCTGTAACTTCAAATGTTATCGTTAATTAGTGAAAGTGAAATAGGACGAGGAAAAAATAAAGAAACTAAAATTTCAAAATATCAAATGCTTGCTGTCAAGAACAGATCTTTTAATTTATTAGAAATGAATGAGATAAAATACTGAAGGATGAGAATAAAAAACGATAAAAGGAATGTTAAAGAAGACAAATGTTATTTTTAGTGATAATGATAATATGATAATAATGATAATGCATTGTATATATCCCTTTTTCAACTTATAAACATTTTCAACAAAATTTCCATTAATAAAATGCTCAAATTTTTGTTAGTGATAACAGCAATATGATAATGTGATAATAATGATAATGCATTGTATATATCCCTTCTTCAACTTATAAACATTTTCAACAAAATTTCCATTAATAAAATGCTCAAATTTTTGTTAGTGATAACAGCAATATGATAATGTGATAATAATGATAATGCATTGTATATATCTCTTTTTCAACTTATAAACATTTTCAACAAAATTTCCATTAATAAAATGTTCAAATTTTTGTTAGTGATAATAGCAATATGATAATGTGATAATAATGATAAAACATTGCATATATCTCTTTTTTCAACTTATTAACATTTTATTAGCAAAATTCGTATTAATAAATGTTCAAATTCTTGTTAGTGATAATAACAATATGATAATATGATAATAATGATAATGCGTTGTATATATCCCTTTTTACAACTTATTTAATTTTTAGCAAAATTTCCATTAATAAATGTTCAAATTTTTGTTAGTGACAATAACAGTATGATAATATGATAATAATGATAATGCAAAATAATTCAAATTTTCTTTCCCTTAATAACAATATACAATAGATATGATTATTTTTGAAATCTGTAATAGCAATTAATGGTGTAAATTATAATTGTAATAGCAATTATTGTTATAGCATTCTTTTTTTCGTTTTGTTTTATTGAACGATTGCATCCGTCAATTATTGTTATTGTTGATGCAACTATCGTATGTTCCATTTATTCTGTATTAGTATTTCTAATTTTGATTATGCTAACTATTCTAATAAGTTATCTTATTGCTGCCGCTGTTGTTGTTATTGCTGTTATTGTTGTTGTTGTTGTTGTTGTTGTTGTTGTTGTTGTTGTTGTTGTTGTTGTTGTTGGTTGTTGTTGTTGTTGTTGTTGTTGTTGTTGGTTGTTGTTGTTGTTGTTGTTGTTGTTTCAATCTTTATGTTGTACTTTTAGAATTATTAATTTTATTTCTTTTCCCTTAGCTTTTTTTTGTTTACTTATCAGTATCTTTTTTTGTTTATTGTTTGTCAATTAATTTTTTTAATTCTTAAGGATAAATTTTTTATAAATTATTGTTTTCATTTTATTACTAAGTCAAATAACAAACATAGTATTAATTAATAATAATTCATTGTTGTTGCTGCTATCGCTAGTGATAGCAATAATTTGTTGTAATCGTAATGATAACTACGATAATGTTATCATGTGAAGAAATTAACTCAATAAATTTAGGACAATAAATTTTTAATTACTAATTAAAAATCTTCTCATTTTATTTCGATGAAAAAATTCGTCTTCCTCATTTGCTTTTATTTTACATAAATTTGTTGTTGAAATTTAATTTTGAAAATATCAGTCAGCAAAAAATTTTAAACATATTATCAAATAGAAATGATTGAAATAGAATGAAAAAGAATAGCTTAAATTTAAATTAAATAATTCTTCCGAAGAATTGACATATTTTAGAAACACACCATAAAAACAATAAATAACAACAACAGCAACAACAACAACAACAACAACAACAACAACGATATTGACAATAATAAATATTTTATCATTTAGTTTAATGTGGAACAAAATTCGAGTGGAAGTATGAAGTGGTTGGAAGCATCAAAGATCATTTGCAATAAATTAAGAAATTCATAATTATAAGAAATCTTTTCATCTTTTCTTTCCTCACTTATTAATAGTTTTCCTCACTTAGCAGCTCATTTAATATTTAATTAATGAAAGTAGTATTGTTAATGAAAAATGAGTAATTTTAATAAATTATTTTTAATTTCAGTAAGACAAAACATCAAAAGAAACAAATTATATTTACAAATGAGAATATTAAAATAAATTTTGCTGAATAAAATATGAAAATGAAGCTTTCTTAACTAAGATATTATGTCATTTGTGATCGTTTGACGTATTATCGTTATCGTTGCAACAATACTGAATAATTTATAATAAGTTATTTAAAATAATGGAAAACAAAATATTCCTATTAACTTTTTCCACACAAACAATATTGTTGCAGTAGTAATTACTATTTGTAGTATTGTTGAAACAATAGTAATAATTATTATTAATATCATCATAATAATCACCACTATTTGATTAACAATAGATTGTGGAGATTTTATATCAAATTGATAATGGCAGCGTAAAATTAAAGCAACTATTGCTTGCTATTAGCTGCAATAAAAATAATAATAAATATTAATATTGATTGATAATAATTAATAACAATAACAATTGCAATAGTAATAATAACAATATTAGTGATAACGGTGAATGATCAATGATAGTTTAGAGAATTAATTCTTGTGATGAGAAACAGAATAAATTCTTGTGTTATCAATAAGAATAAATTCCTATGATGACAATCAGATTAAATTCCAGCGATGACAATCAGAGTAAATTCTTATGATGACAAATTTAATGATCTATTATTAATAAATCTTTATATCACTAATAAATCATTCTAAACTATCGATTGATTAATTTATTCAATAAATACTATTAATGTATACTTATTTCTATTGTTCATATGATTAGATAAATTATAAACTATTTTTAATTAAAATTTATGTGAAAAAATATTTTGCAATAAAATTTAAAAAATTCTCTTAACAATTAAAATTAATTGAAAATTCGATCGCTTTAATAGTTAACCGAAAATAAATAAATTTAGGAATTATTGAAATTGAAAATATGTTCAGTCATTGTTTTTATTTGATTATTCAATTTCGATTTATTCACTATTTAATTTATTCATTCCATTTCAATTATACGTAAAAATATAAATTATTATGATATCATTTAAAATTGTCTCAAATTATTTGCATTAATTATTTGCTATTGCTAATAAGAAAAGAAAAATTTCTCCATCAATATAAGTTAAAATTAATTTCGAATTAAATTCCAATTAGGATTATAAATTATATATTCCTCTAAGTCAAATAATAATACCTAATTAATTGAACATCGTAACATTAACAATGATAGCTGTTGCTTATCATATTTACATCATATCATTCATCTCACATTTTCATTATATCAATCAATGATTAACAAATTTACTCGTAGCTTTTGTTAACGATTTTCGGTGATATTGATTAATTACTATGAAACGCACGAAATATGTTGAAATATGAATAGGCGATAAAGATGATCTATCAAAAATGCATAGGAAGAAAGGTATAAAGACGTTTGCTAATAAAAAAAATACATATCATCCAATTGATATCATATAATTAATTACTTAAATAATATGTATAACATGGAATGACTATTTTAATTTCTATGTGATAAATTTGAAAATCATTAAAAAATACAAAAAGAAAATTGGATATTTTTTAATTAGCACATGCAATATATTTGAATCATATCATTGAATTGATATCATATAATTAATTACTTAAATAATAGATATAACATGAAATGGTTATTTTAATTTCTATGTGATAAATTTGAAAATCATTTAAAAATACAAAAAGAAAATTGGATGTTTTTTTAATTAGCACATGTTTGATATTGTTGAGAAATTTAATGATAAATTACAGATCAAAAAAAAAGATTTAATATCAATTAACATCAAAATATCAAATCAATTAATTCATCTGTCAATAATTTTCGCAATCACATAAAGTATTTGGCAATAAATTTGTAAATGAAAATTTCTAAAAAACAATTGAAAGCATAACAATGAAGAAATTTCGTTATAATCGTTATAATAGAAAAATTATTGGTGTAAATTTTATGCAAAAATTTGAAGTATGAAAATTTCTCAAATGTTAATTAATTAATTAATAATTAATAATATAAAAATAAATTTTTATAATTTTAAAATTTGAAAATTTTTTATTAAAATAATTTTAAAAAAATAAA